TGCTCTGCTGAATAGTGTAGCCAATGTATCATGATGGTAAGCATTTGTGTATCTGCACATCTATAAATATGGAAAAAGTACAGTAAAAATATTGTATAAAAGACAAAAAAATTATACACTTGCACAGGACTCACCACAAATGGAGCCTGTAGGACTGAAGGTTGCTCTGGGTGAGTCACCAAGTGAGCGGTGAGTGAATGTGAGGGCCCAGGACATTACTGTGCGCTGGTGCAGCCAAACGCCGCATATTTAGGCTGCACTAAATGTATGAAACCACATGAAATTGAATCAAGCACAAAATAAAATGATATAATTAAGAGATGGAGTAAACACAAGATGTATGAGGCTATTGCCAGCATAACACAGCATACTGCTTCACAGCACATTTATTTATTTTTTTAATTATTTATTTTAGACTAAGAGAGAAACACGTATTTGTTGTTGCATGTGTTTACACATTCATTGGCTGCTTCTTGTATGTACTCTGACCAGGAGTCAAATCCTCAACCTTGGTGTATCAGCACAATGCTTTAACCAACTGAGCTACCCAGCCAGGGCTACAGCACATGTTTTTTTTAATGTGTAGAAAGAGTACACTCTAAAATATTGATAAAAATTATAGCATAGTAAACATGTAAACCAGTAACATAGTTTATCATCATTATCAAGTATCCTGTATTGTACATCCTTGCACGTGCCATACTTTTATATGATTGGCAATGCAGACTTTACACCACCATCACCACCCACACGCTAGTAATGAGTCACACTGTGACATGACAATAGTCACTGATTAATAGTATTAGTCAGTGGGTTCAGCTCCATTATAATCCTATGGGGTCGCCTCAAGTATTTGCTCTATCCTTCACTGAGATGTCACTATGCTGTGTATCACTGTAGACTGGTTACCTTTCATTCACCCTTTGGGAAAAACTTAAATTATGCCACAAATTTTGATTAAAATGATTACAGAATTTTGAAACACAATGGAACTCAAACTAGGGCCAATGCTCATTTCCTAAATGAACATTTTATGTGCAAACAAACAGCTGCTGGAATTCAACAGAATTTTAAGCAAGCTGTTTGTAAATTTTACTGACAGCTGTTTTTGGTGATTTTTGTCAACAGAATTTTCCTTCTTTGCATCCCAGCATTCTTTTATTACAGTGTCCCCTCAAAGAATAACTTGCTTGCTTTAATCACGTTTACAGAGATTTATGACTCGATGCTTATCCAGTGGTAGAGCTTCTCAACATAAAATGTCAGCAAGCCTGTTATAAATTGCTTCTGGCATTCCTACTCTATCTTTTATTTGGCTCGGAGTATTTCCACCTGAAAGTGATAAATTCCTGCTATAACCACTTTATGTGCTTCGGTAATTACACTGTACAGAAAAAGGGGGTTTCTACAGAGGTGTCTTCTTAAAAATAGCAAGCCATAAAAGGCCGCGGAATGGGCTGAACTCCGAAGTCTATTGAACAAAAACAATGACCAGCGAAATATCTGTGTCAGACTGAATGTGATGAATGATCAGGAAATACGGAAGATACCAAAACCTTTAAAGCCACTGCTGCAAGGACATAGTAATGTAACTATTATCCTTAGACTGGTTACTTTTGGTCCTATGACAGAAATTTGGCAGGTACCCACATCTTTAGTTACTGAGTTAACATCTTTTAAAAACCCTTCTCAAAAGATCCAGATGCTTCCATCTATAACTTCGGTAGTTTTTCAGTAAATGCCAAGGTCTACATGACATTGAGACTATCTCTATATGTGCAAGTTAGAGAGACTGCGGCCTGTTAAAACATTTCAGTATAGTCCATTGCAGCTGATAACTTGGCCAATGCATACAGTACAACTGGAGCCATCAAGGAGGGGTTCAATTTAATCACTAGGGCATCCATGGGTGCTGCGTTCTGTTCGTTTTGGCTCCAATGTTTTGTTTGCTTCATAGAAGCTGTCTATAGTAGATAGGACAAAATCACCGTTTTTAGTTGCTGAGGTTTTTTTCTTTTCCATCTCTTATAGGAGGAGCAAACTGTAAATAAAAGCTCTCTAAGTTAATTGAACAAAAACTATAAACAAAAAACTATAAAGACTTTCATTACCAGGTCCTAAAATCATGCCAGAGATGGTGTTAGGACTCCAGTGGATACTTTATTTGAGATGATGCTAAAAGAGATTATGATCATTAAACAGGGTTCAGGCCTCCTTGGAGTTATTGCCTCATATTTGCAAAGGCATGGCAACAGCAGGCATCTCTGCTCCAGTAGTCCCAGAATAAGAGGTCCTTCTTGCTCAGAGTACGTGCTTACTCACAAAAAGAATTTTAAAGCAAATATAACTGGTTTAGTGTAAGTCAGTGCCAAAGCCACTACTAAACATGGAAAAATGTATCAAATGTTTATTATGAGTTAAGCTTTAACATATGCATTGAATTCAGCCAAGTCCTTTGTGAAGGGATTTCCACAGGTTGTGCTGCACTATTTGGCTTAGAACAGTTTCATAATTTGTCATGGCTTTCACAGCAACCCCAAGACTACGAGGTTCTGTACACTAATCCTAAATTTACAACAGACGGCACTAAATCCCAGGACAGGTTAAACAATGGGCCTGTGGGGGCAACCCTAGCAAAGGGCAAGGCTTGGTTTGGAACCCAGTTGTGCTCACCTCCAGAGCTCTGCGCACTTACTCGGTATGCCACACTGGGGTCCAGAAAAAACAGCTCAGAGCTTATGACTATAGCTTTGGTTAACAGCCTTTGCACATAGACTGACCAGCTCTGTCACATGGGGAGAGCAGACGTCACATTCCTAGATGCTGTGGCGTTTGTTCCACCCCATCAGTTACATGCCAATTATTCTCAAGCTGAAATTTTGTGGGGTGGGGAGTGGTAAGGAACTCTTGGTTTCTTGCAAGAGATTTTTGTCAGAAAATTTATATCTGACATAAAGAATGTACTTAAAAGAGTCAAAGTGGTCAATCCCACTGTATCACACCATAATTAAACGCCAGAGAAGGAGAATTAGTGCACGTGGTGAATTTGTGAGAGAGCTTCACATTCCGTGGGAGGAGAGAGTCTGAGTATTATGTCTCTTCCATTTTGCCTGTTATACATGTTTATCCAAGTGAATATGAGGAAGATTTACTACTTTGTACAACACTTCACAACAGAAGACAACAAATTAGCATTTAGACTGTTTTCAGCAAACCATTCCATTGAGCCCAAAGATCAGGAAAGAGATCCAGGCCAGAGATGCTTTGGAGTATTGTAATCAAAGCAGTGAGGTAGACCGCATGGGGGTGAGAAGGATGTGTAAACAGGATAAAGCAAGTCTGCAGCACCCTGGACTTGCCTTCTTTCTTGCTAATATAGTGTTTCTTGTGATGTTGGAACACCTGACAACATTATCAGACCAGGCTCAGGACTGCTGAGTTAGAGGGTGAGACTAGTCTCCTTTCTCCTCTCTGCCTCTGTTTACTATTTATTCTACCTCTCTGGTAAAAGGTGTTTCCTGGCAACCAGGGTGCTAAATGCTGGCCAGCAACAGTATTGCAGTCTCAGAGTTCTTCCTATGCTGCCTCCTGCCTCAGTCCTTGCAGGAAAACGAAAGGCAAATAAACACCACTAAGCCCTTTTTAAAGTGGAGAGAGGATATTGTTAATGCCCTAAGCCAAGGCCTAACCAAGACCCCATAGCTGGACTGGATTTCCCTGGGGACGTTTTTCTTGGACCAGAGGGCCAGGATTTTACACATTGTTGCTGTGCTTCATTCTGAACAGTTTGTCCATCTTTTACCTGCACATATGTATGGACATGAGAAAAAGAAATGGCTTTACAAATTCAGGATACCTTGCTGAGAGGAAGACTTGGTTGAAAAACACATATACATTTCTATCAAAGCCAAGCAGCGACCCTGAAATCACACAATTATCTAGCGGAGGAAACGGGATTAGAAGTGGGACTGTCTGGCTGTTGAAATCTCCAGTTGACACCATTACACATCGTGGCATCTCTCCAAATTTAATATTTTATGTTTTCTAGAGTTTGATTTCACTGAGGCTCTGCAAGACATGGCTTAACAAAATTCATAATCAAGGATTAACTTCTTGGCTACATTTGAGTTAAAAAATTTTTTTTTTGCTTAGTTTAAGGTGTTATCATAGGTCAGTCCAAATACCCTGTGAGATTTTATTTAGTTCAATTTATTTTGCATCTATGAACCAAGTATTTATTTGCAAATGTTTTAGATGGTTACAGTGTAGCCTGAAGCTTGGAGGGGACGTGTGTGGACACAGGTAGGCTATGGGAACAGGCCAGGCGAGGATGATACGATTGGGTCTGTTGTAGAGTGAAGATGGAGAGAAGTCCTAGATTTGACAGTAAGTTAAGCGGGGAAAAATTGCAAGGACTTTGGCAATGAATTGGATGTGAAGGGTGGAGTCCTTCTTATCCAATAAGATATCTTATCTTAATAACATCTTATTAAATGTTATCTGTAAACTACGGCCATCAGTGAAAGATCCTCAAGAGGGTAGACACATTCTTTGACAGACAAAAAGCCGGGGTAGGGTGGAGAAAAAGGTTACTTTCTTAGGAATAGAGAGAGTGGCACTTTCAGTGTTAGGAGCATAACTTTTCCAAGCTCAACAGTAGCTGAAACAGCATTCCTTACAGGTAACGTTCAGCTAAACGTTTCTCAGTTTGTAATTTTTCATCGGTGAAGTTCAGTTGAGGGTGCCAACACTGCTCCAGGAACGCAGGAAAGCAAGGGCTTTTTCATTGCCACAATCTTATTCATTTATTTATTTTTGCCTTTATCCCTCCGGGAGAGAGAGGGCGTCCCCTGAGCCAGCCTTCTTTCCCCGTCCCAGAGGCCCCGCCCACCGAGCCTTACCATTTGCAGTCGCGGCCCCGCCCCCCCGGCCCCGCGCGCCTGGAATTTGGCGGGTTTCCTGCCCCTGCCCCGCCCACACCGCGCGCCCCGCCCCCAGGCGTCCTGCGGATTCCGACGCGGGAATCGCTGGTGTCAGGGGTCGGGGTCACAGGCCAGCGGCGTCTCGGTCGTTGCCCAGGTCCGCTCAGCTTCCCGCTGTCCGAAGAGGTTTTCCTGCGAAGGCAGGGCGATGCCGGAGAACCGGCAGCTGAGGGTCCGCTCCGGGAACCAGCTTCGCCCCGCGTCCACCATGGAGCCGGCGGCTGGCGGGGATTGGGCCCACAGCCGCGCCGCGCTCGACCGGCTGGAGAAGCTGCTGCGCTGCTCGCGTTGGTGAGGATGGATCCTTGAGGGGGCTGCCGCGAGGGCAGCGGCGTGGCGGGGGTCTCCCCAGTGTTGGGGGTGGTGGTGAATCTCTCCAAACCTCCGCTTTCCTACTTCCGTTCCCGTCCCGCAGTCGCGTAGACGAGCGGAGTTTGTACCTGCCGAGGCATCTGGTGTGAGTTCCATACCCTGGCTCTCATTCACGTTTCTATGTGGCGTTGTGCCCTTATTTATTTATTTATTTATTTTTGGCAGCAAACCCAACAAAGATGGTAGTTCTCAAACTTTAGCGGGCGACTGAATCGCCTGAAGCCGTGGTTAGACTTGCGTCTCCCTGGCCCCGCCTCCCGCTCTTGAATCCGCAGGGCTCGGGTGGGGCTAAGGCGGGGCTAAGGTTTCCGCACATCTGTCAGTGTAGTCCTGACGAGCTAATTCCAGGATCTGGCGCGAAGTTTGAAACCGCTGTCACTCTTTACTGAGCTGGCGTCTTTGATCTTTTCTCCACAGCAGCTTTTTTTTGGGGGGGGGGCAGGGAGGGAGTCAGTTTTGGGGACTCTTGCTGAAGATGGCGGTGTGATGAATACTGACATTCTAGTTGTCACTCAATTTCAAATTTCCCTGATTTGGTCAAAAGACTGGCTTGGGGCTCCAGCTCTTACAGATGCTACTTACTATCCTTTTGTGCTTTTTATTTGCCTTCATGCTGTTACATCAGGTGAGTCCTCTTAGTCCAAGGTTTTGATTCCATCTGAGGACATCATTTTCATGGTTGGTACCCCTTGTTTCTCCTTTTCCAGTAGGTCTTCCTGGTATAGAAACTAGGAAGGCTTATAAAACCCAAGAAGGGCTGGTCTCACTTTTCATTTCTTCCAAAAGCATTTATTGAGCACCTGCTATGTGCACAGCCCAGGATTTCAGCGTCAGTGTTGCTGTGGCAGGTTTTCTCTCTTTGTAGCTCTCCCAACCATATTTCCTTTTCAGATTTTATTATTGTTATTATTCTTGCCTCTGACTTCCAACTTGCAGAATTAAGTTATACATAGAGAATAAATAATGCAGCAGCTTTTTCTTTAAACATGAAAAGCTCTTAATTGTCAGAGTTTTGCACTTATATTTTAAGACCTTTGACGAGCATGGTATGGTTGCACTCCTTAGAAAAGTGGCACTTTTGCTACAGTGAGTGTATGACGATATCCTGAATTGTATGTGTTTTCCCCTCGCACAGGGGTTATCCAACAGAGAATAAGTTTAGAGCTGGCCTCTGCTGGTTGCTATAAAAGGAGCAATTTTGGTCATACCCGCATCGCCAGTTTAAGAGAAGTTGGACATTCAGATGATACATTTCTGTATGGGAGGCACTAGGGCAGCAACATGGTGTTTCTCTTGGACTGTGCAGTCAGGCTGCCTGATTTCAGGTTCCAGCTTTGACACTGTGGAATGGCCCCAGTCATTCAACTTCTCTGTGCCTCTGTATCCCCATCTGAGTGATGGAAGTGCTCGTTAGTAAGTTTTCAAAAAGTTACTGAGCACCTACAAAGAGCCAGGCATGTTCCAGGCATTTGGTACTCATTAGTGAACAGAGTGGGAAAATAACTCCAACCTTTATTAAGGTAAAATTCTATGAGAGGGAAGCACCAAATGAAATTACACATGTAAAATGTTAAGTGTGGTGGTTGTCAGAGAATAAGTGATAAGTAAGAGGTATCTTAAAGCATAATCTGCTTGCTGAATGGTTCGGGGGAAACGAGAGGTGACATATGAATGAATAATCTATAGGTTGTCCTGAAATCTAATAAAGCCAGTTTTACTTTTTATCCCCTAGCAAATATTTTTCCAGTTTTTAACAGAAGTGAGTAGACAATAAGAACCACAGGACTGAAAGTAGACATCAGTAGCTAGGCCTGGATTTTCAGTACAACTCATCCCTTCATTGGAGAATGATGCTGAACTCCAGTGATTAAAAAAGAAAAGTTAATATCTGAACCACTGATGGATTGACTAAATCTCAACAATTTCTTTGCGTGCATATTTTAACATGGGGCTCTTCAAACTTTTTCTGTAAAGGGTCATATAGTAAATATGTTAGGTTTTGCTGGCAACAGTCTCTTATTCTTTCATTTGTTTTTTACAACTGTGAAGAACATAAAAACGTAAAACATTTTTAGCTCAAGGGCTGTACAAAAACAGCCTACTGGCTTGATTCGGCACTTCAGCAATGTTTTGTCAAACTCTGTTTTAACAGAAGTTTAAAAATAGTTTTTGGGTTTGATATTAAATGATTTTGTGTTCCTCCCTTGGTATCGCTGCATGCTTGGCGCTGCCTCTAGCGAATAAAGCCTGATCGGCTGCTTCTTACCCATAGGGAAAAAACACATTCTTTTCACCTATGCCTTTGCCTAGTAGCTGCATGACAGCATTTACTCAAAAGGAGCAACTCAAGATGGTCTGCATCTAACTTTTGCCACCCACCATTTGAAGCAATGTTATATTATTAGAAATTGCATGTCAGTGTGTCCTTTTACAGAGTTTCAAAGCTCTGCCCTGTGGGCCAGTGATTACCCCATTACCCTCACATTCAGCTTGCAGCAAGCATCATTTGCTGGTGAGGGTAGATTGGCTACATTACAGAGCATCCTTTCTTAACCTTTAGCATAAGTATGGCTCCAAGGTGAAGCTGATTAAATTGTTCAGATGCAACATTTGTGTTAGGTCCACGCCTCACAACCAGACAGAAGAAGCTATTTAAAGATTTGGAAAAATGAGACAGGAAGTCTGTATCATTTGAGAGGCTGGCAGAAAGCAGAGTAGTATGTTCCTGAAAGAAGCAGGAAATGATAATAGGAGCTGCAGTGCAAAAGCTCAGGTGTCCTATGGTACTGTTTTGTGAATTAAAATAGGAACCTTGACATTTATTGTTGGGATGGGTTGGCACGTATGGTAATTTTAGCTTGGAGTTCTAGCACCTTTTAAATCAACTTGTAGTAAAATCAAAAAGTAATCTTGTAATTTTCAGGATACATGATTTTATTTTTCTGAATTATCTCTTGTCATTTACTAGGCGATCAGGTTTTGAGGTAGCATAATTTAGTTGTTAAGAGCATGGGTTTTGAACCTTGGGTTCAAATCCTTAGTGATGTCAGACAGATTAGTTCTTTGTTTACTTCTTTTTCATCATCACCAAAATGAATTAGTAGTTTGTACTGCATAAGGTGGTTGTGGGAATTAAATGAGTCAATACCTATGAGGTACTTAGAGTAATGCCTATTAGGTTCTAAGAGCCCTAGGAGTGTGTAAAGTAGAGGATAGATTTCCTGACTCCAGCAGTCAGTTTTTGCCTTTTCAGGAGTTCCCATAGTTCGGAGGCGATTCTATAGGCTCCTGATCCTTAAGTGAGGTAATTATCCCTTTCATTTTGCTCTGGTGCTGGTTATTTATTAGGGCAAGAAACAATCACTGAAGCACTGTATTAATGAGGATATGGTGAGACATTTTCTACTCTTAAGGAGCATATGCTTAATAATACTAAGGGACAAAATGTTTACACAGTTTGGGGGAAATTATGATGGAGGCCAAGGGGATGCCAAGTGGAGAGAGACAGTGGAGGAAAGAGACAGTGGAGGAAAGTTTCATGGGCTTCTGAATTGGACCTTGGGTAGATTTTTATAAACAGTCAAGTAGGGGATTATTAGCAAATAATATGCTAAAAAGAATTGTAGAATAAAAATGAAGCGAGTCACGTGGGGAGAGAATTAAGGCAGGGTCAAATCACAGAGTGATTAGTAGCCTAACGGACTGTTCATTTGGGTCAGATGCAGGCACACCTTCGCTTCACAGATGTTGCATTTCTTTACAAATCGAAGGCAAGACAAGACCCCCTCCCCCCCAACATCAGCGAAAAGATTACGACTCGATTCATTATGATAGTCAGTTTATTGAGGTGGTCTGGGACCAAACCTGCAACACCTTGCAGGGGTATGCCTGTTGCTTCTTTCAAGGAGAGCATCTCATGTCGCCTTCCTGAGACTTAGTGTCATTCTCTGTAAAATGAGGAAGGTGGGTAAATTGATTTTTGAGGCTCCCTCCAGTTCCCAGATCCCAGAATTATTAGGTTTATTGAATGCTGTTTAAAATTTTTTATTGACATTTAACATACATACAGAAAAGGGCACGCATCATTGGTGTTCAGTATGTATCATATAGCCCTTCAAATTGTGGGATTAATTTACTTAATTTTGGGATTCTTTGATTGAGGCCTCATCTGCACATAGGTGGTAATTGAAGTCATTCTTTTGGAAGTGGGCAGGGAAGATAGTATAAAGACAGGTACCTAGGTCTGAGCCTTGAAGCTCAACATTTAAACATCAGGTGGGGTGGGTGAAGTCCAGCAGTTACTTAATGTACTCTTTTGCTTGGAAGAAAAGGGAATAGAAAACAGAGTAACCAAAACTGTTTGAGCTGGGGTATACATAATATTCTCTGTGGCTTATGTATCTGTCTCACTTGGCAGATTCTGTTACAATTAGTCATTAATAGAGAGAATTCTGTTGTCTCTTTGATTTTTGGGATATTCGACACATTGAGTTATTTAGTAGTTACTGACGCTGAACAATTAGGAGTGTTTTCTTATTTTCTCCATGTGATTTGCTTGAACATGGCATATTAAAACTATCACAGGTGGGCACAGGTAACCAGGTTCTTGGTGATCGGGACAAAGATTTGAACCGAACACCCAGAGTTTATAGCAGAGAACATGGTAACAGGCCAACTCCAAGCAGAGATTGACCTCAAGGGCTGAAAGGACTCTATTCTTACAGGGTGGATCCTTCCTGGCTAGTTTTGGCAGGCTTTTACTGTGACAGGTAGTTGTAAAGCTACTGCACATGTGGTCTCCCTTGGTTTTCCTGGATTGGCTGCCAGGGCAGGGGGTCCCACAGTGTTACCTAGTTGACCCCTTCTTCTCCTGGGGTCCCCCTGTACTAGGTTCACCTTTCCCTTCACCAGAGAATTAC